TGCTTCGCCTGAATGCCTTTCCTATGCATGCGATCCTCGGCATTGCTTTAGTTCTTTCTAATAAGGTTCCGTTCATCCGCTTCCGCCACTCTATTTTGTTGAGGAGTGTATGCAACCGTGAACTGTCTTTTGATACCTTTTTATTTACAAAATATATCAAATTCATCACCAATGTATTCCCCTCCATTATCCATTCTCGGACACTTGATCTTCTTATCAAAATCAAGTTCAACCCACGTTTTGTAAGCTTTGAAGACTAAAAACACATTTGACTTCCTCTTGATTGTATACACCCAACATCTCTTGGAATAATCGTCAATGGAGGACACAAAGTACTTTACTCCTCCCAAGGATAATACCGAAGCTTGCCATACATCCGAGTGAACCAATTCTAAAACAACTTTGCTTTTAGAATTTGATATGAAAAACTTTAAACGATGCTCGCTTACTTGTAATACAATGCTCACAAAGAGGTAATGATACCTTTGTGAGGCTCGGAAGTAGCTTTCGCTCAAGAAAGATTTTAATTCCTTGTTCGGACATATGTTTAAGTTTTAGATACCACATCATTGTAAATCTTTCTCTTGAACTACTTGAAGCAATCGATGCTTCTACTTCTAGCAAAGTCTCTCCCTATAACATATATAAGTTCACACTTATCTTTTCTCCTTTCATAAGTACAAACGCACCTCGAACAATCTTCATGATGTTGTTCTTTATCTCGATCTTGCACTCAAGATCATCTAGTTCTCCTAAAGATAAAAGGTTCTTCTTCGAGCCCTCCACATGCCGTACTTGTTGAATAGTACGTATCATACCATCATACATCTTCGACTTAATGGTTCCAACTCTAATGACTTTTAAAGCATGATCATTACGAACTGTACATAGTTCCTCCCGAGATAGGTTCATAATGATGGAACCATTCTCTTCCGGGCGTCATGTGAAATGTAGCTCCCGAGTCGAATAGTTACACATCGGTAAGTCTTTTTCTATCTTTATGTGTTGTTGTTGCTTCATAATACGGAGCGTTCCCATCATCCGAACCGCTCGTCATGTTTCTTCGAGGATTGGAATTTGTCAAACTCCAACAATCTTTTTTCAAATGACCTTTCTTGCCACAATCGTAGCATTTAAGATTCTTCTTCTTACCTTTTGATTTTGACCTATCATGATTATGGCTCCCATTTGAGCCGAGTTACGTTGATCTTTCTTTCATCACCAACAAGGCCTCTACTCGTTGTGAATTTACCTGTCTGTCTTCCTTGTTCTTACGCTGTTTTTCTTCTTTCGGAATAGTAGCTCGTAACATCATCGAAGACTAGATAATCCATAAGGATATTATTTGTTAAGTTGATGATGAGTTGATCATACGAATCCGGTAGACTTTGAAGTAGAAGTTTAGCATGTTCACTTTTATCTATTTTATAACCCAATGATGTGAGTTGAGAAAATAAAGTATTTAAAGTATTGACATGCTCCGTCATCGAAGTAGATTCCGACATACGAAGAGTATAAAGTTTCCTCTTAAGGAAAATTTTATTGTGGAGTGATTTGGCCTCGTACAACTTAGTAAGATGATCCCAAATCTCCTTTGCTATTTTCTTCTCCTTAATGCTTGACAACACTCCATCCGCTAATGCTAGATGAAGATTTACAATAGCATTTCCATCAATCTCGTTCCACTTATTGTCATTTGTGTATTCTTTCGACCTTTTACCGATGGTCACTAGGCAATTATCTTTTCTCAAGATAGCCTTTATCTTCAACTTTCACAATGAGAAATTGTTTTCATTGAATGTTTCAATTTCAAAATTTGTCGTCATTGCTTCTATTACAAACTCTTTATCGCTACAATAACACGTCTTTGTGGGATCTATAACTACGCTATGATACCACTTGTTGTGTTATTGATCGAATAGAGCATGATTTTCAGCTAATGAATTTGATAAAAAACCAACGATAATGAACATACAGATTTTACGTGAAAAACCCTTAAACAAATTAAAGGAAAAAACCACAAGCAAGATAGAAGAACTTCATTATGAGAAATAATAGGAGTTGTAACCTTTCTCTATACTAAAAGGAGAAAATAATAAATTTCTCTCTTGAAATAGGAAAAACACTCTCTATATTTTCTAAGAACTAACCTCTCTCTCTATTTTTTTTCCTCTCACTTTTTGGGGATGGTTTTGAACTAAGGTGGGGAGGCCTATTTATAAGCCTCCCTCCCTTACATGTACTCGCCTCATTCGAGGCGATGCATGCATTGGTTACGACTTGCATGCAAGCTATAATTTCGTGGATAATTTATCCACGAAAAGGCTTTCAACAATCAAGAGAAGTAGAGTTGAGTTTAGAGAGGGAACCATCTACAAATCCAAGTTTATTCTTACCCTCACGGGCCATCATGAGTACACGACTCCAAGTGGTATAATTGTCGCCATTGATGAGTCGAGAGACTAGGGGATTATCGGGTTGATTAGAAGGATTCAAAAATAAAGGAGACGAGTGATCTAAAACAAATTGTTGGGGTTTGGAGATCTAACTATGGCGAAAGAAGCATCGTTGATAGCCATGATGATTGAAAAAAGAAACAAAAAGGCCCAAAAATTCTTTTAAGCCGATACCATGTCAAGATATGTAAAGTATGAAAATAGGTTTCTTAATTTTCATTATGTAAGAGGGAACATATACAAGAAATATGCTAAAATATCTACCAAACTTAAGATAACCGACGATTAAATTTAAGGATTGATTCATATAATTAAGGGTCAAGAATTTGCTTAATGTTGTTGATAGCATATTCCTATAATTAAGGACTAGATATGGCAAGAAATGTTAATTGCAATCGAGGTTTTTAATAATCACTAAACTTTTTATTTTTCTTTATTCATGTTTTTTCCCCGTCCATATGGATTGCATGAGTTTGGTATCATTTGATCTATTTAGTATATTGTTGTAACTGGTCAATAACATATATTATCCAACCCGGATATTCAAAAAAACTTAGGTATTTTCATTCCAAATTTTTCTTAGTAAAATGTAAACATTATTCTCATTTGATATGACATGTGTTGTTGTGCTATTATTTTTTTTCCCCTTATTTTCGAATAGTTAGTTCATACTATAGGAAAAAGATTCATTTAGTATCGGTATTTAGGTTCAAAACTTTCCATTGACTCATTGGAAATCATTTAGTGTAAGTATTTAGGTTGAAAATCTTCTATTGATTTATGGGAAAACTAATATATTTACGACTACATCCAATTAATCTCGCTTTTTAATTAGTCTTAATATAGGTACAATGAAAGTCTCCTTAGGAGTTACCAATATCAAAATCTCCATATTTTCTAATGTGTTATCAACCTATCTATACACAAATAATAATATATATATTTTTTTCATTTGATACATGGGAAGTGCTTAAAATAAGTCATTTGTACCATAATATGTCAACAATTAGAGTAAACTATAAATTAGTCTTTCTAGTTTCGAGAAACAAATCGATAAAAACTAATTATCTAGTCTTTATATTTTTAATTTTCTTGTAGCTTAATTAGTTTTATTCTTTTTCAATTTATCTTGATTTAATTTTAAGAAATATAAAAAAATAAAAAATAAGTAAAAAAAATATGGAAGGATTGACGAGAAAAGATGACAATTTTTTAAATAAAGTAATATTAAAGTAAATGTGGTTAACATAAGCTAAAGGATTAAATAATTATTTTTTAAGAAAAAGAACTAACTAATTCGTTTCTAAATAACAGAGGGACTAATTTGTAATTTACTCCAACAATTAACATCCAACTATCCAAGTGTTCATACCAAAAATAAATAAAAAACAGTCCAAGTGGGCTAAAGATCATATACTGGAGTGGGCTAGCACATAAAGGCTTGATCGATGGGCCTAGTATAAATTTAACTTCGAATCCGTAATTTTATTTTTTTCGGCTGGTTTTTTTTTATTCTAAAAACTAATTATTTAATTTTTTTTATAACTTAATCATTTTCAATTTATTTTAACCTTTTGGTTTAAGAAGTAGAAAATAAGAAAAAATAATTAAAAAAATAAAAAGAATGATATTTTTAAAATAAAATAATATTAAATACTGATTAATTATTAAAAAAAATTAATTAATTCGTTTCTTTATAAGGGATTGAAAATAAGAACAAAAATAAAAAAAAATGAAAAGAATGATATTTTTAAAATAAAACAATATTAAATACTGATTAATTATTGAAAAACAAAAACTAATTAATTCGTTTCTTTATAACCTAGGGATTAATTTATAATTTACTCGACTGAACAAGAATACCCAAGCAAAGGACTGGCCACAAAAACAAACGAATCCTTCGAAGATAAAGCTAGCTGTTGCCTATACAAATGATACTCATACAAGACAATGAGCAAAGCCTGATCTTCTCCCAGTCCCCAGGTACTTGGTCGTTTTAGATTCTTTCAATTTTGGTCCCAGTCTATGTAACCTCTACAGCTCTACTGTACAAATTGTTCAAAGTTGCATCTTCTTGATCATACATAACATGCACCCTCTAATGTGTTGTTGGTACTGAAATTTCTATTTCTCAACAAATGGACAGTTATAGAGTTTTCCCATTGTTTAAGTGTCTCTAATGAACTGAAAATGACTGCAGCATTACTGCATGTATGTGAGTAATGCTCCGCTAGTATTACTGTTGATCATCAACAGTAAAAGTTGTAAATTTCTGGATCGTTTGTTGTTTGATTTTGCAATATATAAGTATATGCAGTAAGCCAAATATATGTCAGAAAATAATGATCTTGCTTTGTTAAGTCTCCACTTCCTAGTACAATATTTGCGAATTTATTGAAAATAAATCTACTTGACATAACTTAATTGCTGCCATTACCGGATGTTCCTGTTTGAATAAACAGTACACTGTGCAGTGCTGCAAGAATTGTTAATGTAATAGCTCAAATTTGTAGGTGGGTTGGTATCAGAATCACTCAAAGTGTTTCAACTACTTGAGTTTGGTCTGTTATATAGACAAAGATTGATTGTGGTTATGTGCTGTACCTTTTGTTGAACTTCACTGGTGCCACCACTTTGTAAATCCAGCACCAATTGCTCAGGCATATCTTCCAAATGTAACTTCTGGAGGCCTTTAAAATGCTCAATTCCTTGAGGCAGAGCCTTCATCGCTTGACAGCGAATTAGATACAACTCTCGGATTCTTGGCAGCGATTTCTCCTCAATTTTCATGCTATCCAATTGTGCAAGCTCTATAAATTTCAGTTTGGTTAGTCTAGGGAACCATCCTTCCTTGAAGTGTAAGAACCTGCCATCATATGCTTTCTTGAGTTCAAGGAATACCAGACTGGAAAGTACACGGATAGAAGAAATTATATCTTCTTGGAGATGAGAATGGCCCAAATACAAATGTGTTAGATTTGCCAAGGACCCAATCCAGGGAGGTAACCTATTCAATTGACCGATCAAGGTTAGTTTCTGAAGAAATATCGGAGGCATACGTAATGCTTCCAATTGAAGTCCTTCTTCTGTACTGGTTGCCATCACACCTAAGCGGAGGAGGCCTGTCAACTTTTGAATTGAATTGCACAACTTTGGTCCATCGGCAGCTCTCAACTTTGTAATCTCCAACCGTTTGAGATCAGTCAAGTTCCCAACGTTTTGGATTAGCTCTTTCTCTGCGTCAATGCATGTAAGGGTCTGCAAAGTGCGGATGTTGCATATTCCAGCTGGAGCCTGCATACTAATGAGAACATCTGTTGTTTCAGAACTCTGATCATTTTTGCGGAGCATACACAGATGTCTCAAAGCAGATAGTTTTGATATTCCACTTGGTAGCCTTTCCATGTAGGTATTCCTTACATCCAATGTTTGTAAATTGTTCAGCCTTTCCATTGATTTGGGAAGCTCCTTGATCTTGGTATCTCTCAAGTTCAAGTACCTTAGATTGAACAATTCAACCAGTGTTCCTGGCATGGTGTCAATGGGAACTCCCTCTAGATTAAGAACCCTCAGTAATTTGAATTTTGATGACACAACATCTAGAGAGAACGAAGAGCACATATCCGTTGGAAACACAAAGAAGGAGCGAAGATGGTGCGACATTGTACTGCTCAATCGGATGCTTTCGCCAGTACCGTAAACTGACAACCTATGGATTTTTCCTTCTAGCTTTGATTGGTAGCCATCATATGCTGTGCAGAAATTCTCCTTTTCAGACGTCGTCACAGCTAATTCACGCATGACATCCTGCACTCGACATATCTTCACCCTCCCAGCATCATTAGTCTCTGTAACTTGAATCATACTTCGAAGGATAAGTTCTGTGAGGTACTCCTCTGCTATCTCTTCTAATGTCATGCCTTTCCTTTCTCGGATGAACCCTTCTGCTATCCATAGCCTAATTAGCCTCTTCCTTCTAATTGGGTAACCATCACGGAAAACACAACAGTATAAGAAACAATGCTTGAGGTAGAATGGTAAATCATTGAAGCTCAACTGCAAGATGCCCTTCACTTGTTCCAGCTTGGGATTGTTGCTTAGTTGCCAATTGAGGCTTTCATAGACATTCTTCCATTCCACAACTGTCTTCCTTCTTGAACACATGAGGCCTCCAACTGATACTATTGCAAGTGGCAAGCCTTCACATTTCTTCAAGATGGCCTCGGCCAAAGGTTTAAGCTCTTTGGGACAAAGGTGTTCTGTGTCATTCCAAAATGCCCTTTTGCAGAAGAGGGCCCAAGCATCTTTCTCTTGAAGAGGTGCAAGCTGATGGACACGGCTTCCAATTCCAACAGAGGTAGCTACATTCTCGTTCCTTGTTGTGAGGATAATTCTGCTTCCATGTCTATTATTGGGAAATGCACTTCTTATTATACTCCAAAGATCTATGCTCCATACATCATCTAGGACAATAACATACCTTTTCTGGTGCAAATAACCAATAAGCATTCCCACAAGTTGCCTATAGTTCATTGAACCCAGGTTGTTTGGTATTGGCACTGGAGTTGCACCAAATAGCTCTTTGATCATGCTTCTTAATAGCTCACCAGTCTCACCAGCTTGAGACACAGAGATCCATGCCCAACAATCAAAGTCTCTCTTGATTATTTGATTGTTGTATACTGTTGTGACTAGAGTGGTCTTACCAAGACCGCCCATTCCCACAATTGAAATAACAGTCCGGCGAGGTTCATCCTCCATTAACCATCCAAGTAACTGCTCTGTGTTCTCTTCCATTCCCACCATATCATCTTCATCTACAAACACTGCTGATTCTCCATAGTGCTGCCACCTATCACCAGCAACATTTCTAGTAACCCCCTCATCTCTCTGATCAAAACCGTATCGCTTGCTTCTCTCTGAAACCTCATGAACCTTAGCTTTGATCTTTTCTAGTTTTGAAGAAATTCGATGCCTTGAAGTTATGTTCTTGGGGAAGTTGACCACGTCTTTGACAATACCCTTGAGTCCATTCTTAAGAGATTCCTTATATTTGTGATGCATAAACTCATCTATTATATCCTCAACTTCATACGCAACCTCTCGTACTTGCCTCACCCATGTTTCCACTGAATCACTCATTTCCTTTCTTCTTTCTGCATCTCTTAGGAAAGATTTCATACTCTCTAGCTCAAGCTTGATTTCTTCTATTTCGTCACGAGCATCTCCCAGCAATGATGCATTTTGCATTAGGATTGTAGTTAGTTTATCAAGTAAGAAACTCACAGCACCATCTGCCATTCTTCGCTCACAAAACTATTTCTGTTTCTCTTAACCGTTTTCCTCTCTTTCCTTCGTTGAAGGGACGGTGAGAGGAAGGTGGAAGGAAATGAGCTAGAAAAGTAGTTTGTAATAATTTAATACGCATTGACTGAGCCAGTAAAAGCTCCAGAAAGACTTCTATAAGCAAAGTCAAGATGTGTACATTTGAGAGTAACGGCACACACCTACGCACACAAAGAAGAGCTCTTTTAGCCCAATTTCTTGAAAAATAGGTTTCAGCACATAAACATAGATGGTTAATTTTCAAATTATTATGTTTTTCTGCTGAATTTCGCTCGGTTCTAGCATCACAAACCCTTCATTTCTTAGCAGTTTCGTGGCTTGGTTACAAAACTTCTCTCTTTTTTTTTTAAATCTCCTTGGCTGCTTTCAATTTTGCCATTTGGTATATGACAAGCATTATTTATGACCATGATCCTATTTCTTTGTTCTTTCGGTAATTACCTTGGTTCTATCACATGTATGCCTTCCTTTGGTGTGCATGTTCAACCTTTCACACTTTTGGTGAAGGAAACAAAGCAGCTGACTTCTTGGCTAATCCAGGAGTAATGCAATCTGAGCATGCAGCGGGAGTTGTGGTCTAACCCGCCTCTTGGAATTAGGAGTATTTTGGAAGCAGATTTTGTGAGAATTTCGTATCCTAGAGCCTAAACCCCTGTTTGTATAGGGATGAAAGTGGGGGAGAGGAAAGAAAATGGGGGTGAAAATGAAAAATTTTCTCTCGTTTGGATTGTAGAGGAAATGAGAGGAAAGAAAAAACAACAATAAATAAATGATATTTTTGTGAGATCCATTTTACTCCCAATTTTGGGAGGAAACCGAAGGAAACCTGCAGCTGACTTTTCATTTGGTTTGCTTTTTCGTTTTTACCCTTGCTCCACCCATGTGACAAAAAAACAATAATAATAAATTCTAATTTTCCTCTCATCCCACAGGCCTGCAATGGATTAGTGTAGTTCTAGAGTTTATTTTAATTGTTCTTTTCTCTTTTTTTCTTTAAATTAATTAAGAAATATTTTTAGATAAGCTTTTAATAAATTAAAACTAAGTGTAATTTTGTGTAGGAATAAATTATACATTATTCCGTATAGTTTCGAGAAACAAATTATTTAGTTATTTCTATTTTAAAAATTAATAAATTAGTTTTTTTTGTCTATTTTATATTTTTTATATTTATTATTTTTCTATTAAAAAGGAAAAATAAATAAATAAATGTTATGAAAAAAATTAATGAGAATAAAAAATCAAAATAAAAATATAATCTTAAGGGCATTATAGTAAATATACAATAATATATATATATATATATTTTTTTCTTTTCACTCTTATTCAAATAATAAATGAAAAATAATTTTCTTTCTTTTCTTTATTCTCACTTTTTTATTTTATTTTATTTCCTCCTAGGAGGAATTATTCGAACAAAGGTAAAGGTGGTTGATTGAAAAAAGAAAAAAAAAAAAGTCAACCTTTCTACGCGTTGGAACCGCGGGTTGGCAAGAAAGCTCCTAGAATGCCACTAGTCTACCTACTTTCAACAGTGCCATAAAGTTCAGACATTTTGCGGGTTGTAAGCTGTAGCTATCATTAGTAAATTTCTCTGTGCACAGCGAAGTCCAAGACTAAAATGAACAGGAAACAGAGAGAAGAAATGCATACACAACTTGAAACTTTTGTATTGTTTCATTTTCAAGAATCCATATGGTGCATGCAAATTGAGGGCGTTGAGTTCTGGCAATCTGTAGAATAATCTCAAAGGGTGTAAGGGTGCTAAAAGACGAGGAATTTGAGATGATGCTTAGGCTGTGTTTGTTTGGGGGAAACAAGTTTCTGGAACTTGTTTTCTTTATTTTTCAATGTTTGTTTCATATTAAGGAAAAAAGTCAATGGAAAATGATTTCCAGTCAATGAAAAATGATAGAGTAATTTTGGAAAAATGTTTTTCTAGTTTCAAAAGAGAAAAACATTTTTCTTCTCACGAGTTGTCTCGATCTCGTGTTACTTATTTATCTCTCGATATATTTTAACAATTTTTTTCTCTATCTTCTTTTTATTTAAAATATATCATATTAATTTTTAATTATTCCTTATCAATTATTATCAATTATTTATTTTTTAATCTATTTTTACTAATATTTAATTTTTTTAATTTATATATACATTAAATATTCTTGAAAACCATTTTTACATCTTAAAATTATTTTTATGATAAATATTTCAATAACTTATATCTTTTTTTTTACTATTGTCTCAAACACTACCTAAGTTATAGTTAAATGATCGGAAATGATTATTACAAGATTATAATTTTTTGTAAAAAAAATTAAAATTAATTAATTCATCAATAAATACATTATTTTTCCAACACTATTCATTTGCAATTAAATCAATAATTTGTAAATTTTTGTAAATTTTTGTAATGAATAATTAGTTACAAATTATTCCAACATTAATCTTTTGAGACCAAATAAATAATTATCTATAAATGATAACTAATAATTTATAAAATTATTTTTTAGACTAAATTATCAGTTCAATTTCTAAAAAAAAATTCTTAATTTGGTTATCAAAATAATAATGCTAGGATTACTTAGAATCTTTTTTTTTTTTTTTACTACATATGAATATTGACTTGATTTTGTCCCAAGTGATTTTGATGATTTGGTTTGATGGTTAAAAAAGTATATTTATTTTTTGAATTAAAATTTTAGAGTTAGTATTGATGAAAATTTATTAAATTTTTCTAAATCTATCTTATTTTATGAAATTATGAATATGTTTTTTTTAAAATTTTCTCAAAACTTGTTGATATAACAATCACTTAAGTTTTTGTATTTTAATTTTTTGTATCAAACAAATGTTAAAATATATTTTTCAGTAGTTTTTTCATATAATTGCCAAATAACAAAAAATATGTTTTTGGAAAATAATTTTCTGAAAAATAAGGAATTGATTTTCCTATGAAACTTGTTTTCTCTCTAAACAAATATAGCCTTAGTGGATAATAGGTTCAATGTCTTGTCATGGAAAAACATAACTGGTAAAAGGAATTTAAAAACGATTGTCGAAAGCTAGCCCAATAGCACTTTTCCAGCCTCCCGAACAGCGCAGAAAATAATGCCTTGATTCATGACTTGAATGATACAAAATATATGATCGAAGGCCAGGGTCAAAGCCAAAGTTAACAGATGCTTTCTTCATGGCTAAATGTAAATTGTCATGCCTGGAAATGAATGTCGTGTATCCCATATATGCAAATCTCACTCAAGACCAGTCAAGTCCTGTCAATATTTCCAAGAAACTGGAACAAAAGTCATTCAGTTACGCAGTGCACAAATTCTTGTGGAAAAAAGACATTGCAAATCTTTCTCATTTGCAAGAAATGGTGTCATGACAAGTATTGTTTCCCCTACTTTCTGAATAATTAATTTGCAATCAGCTAACTTTTGTTTTCAAAACCCTTCTTGCACTTTTGAACTTGTAGTGGTCTACATTACAGTTCAAACCGTGTCAAGAAAGTTGCGTCAAAATTAAGGAAGTTTAGCCATTCAAAGTCTCCTGGTCAGGTCCACGAAGTTTTCAAGCACGATAACACGGTAGCAGAAGCAAATCAGAAAAATCAGAGAAGTACATATCTCTTTTGAGAAGTAAGTTCCAAGCTATCAAAAGCAGCTAGAACCTGCAAATGCTTTATATTAGCAATAATATTTGGCTTAACATTAATAAGCAGATGATCAGAATCAGAAATTGCAAACTGCTGTTTCTTCTTCCAAGCAAGAACTTTCCATCATCCGTCTCTCTACTTCCAAATAGGCCTCGGCTTTTTACCAAATTATTATCCTCCCCTTCCTGTCATGGATTTTCGAAAGGTATCCCTCTTTTCACTACTACTGCCACTAATACTACTCTAATAAACTATCTTTGAGATGACTACTACTCTGTTGTTCAATGAAATAAAATGAAAAAATTTATTAAGATCCAGAATGTCTTTGTCTCTTTTTCATTTTAAGACGCAAATAAAAGCTAATGGTTAATTGGGTTGAATGCAGGCACTTCTTGTCATTCTCTTGATCTTCATAATGAGGAGTGAGATACGTTTTGCTTTGTTAGGAGTTTTCAGGACTTATTTTAATTTATAGCATCTCTTTTTTTTTTTTTTTTTAAAAAAAAAAAGCTATTGTATCTACTATCTTGTGATGATTTGATGACTTTATGCTTAATAAATTTGTTTTATATACCTCCAGACAAATTAATACGCATTCTGACCAGCCTGTAATTGCTTTCCATTTCTAGGTCCCTTATATATACTCAAATTGTTTGGTCCTGATAATGCTTGATAAAGAATAGGAAATCCCTTATATATACTCAAATTGTTTGGTCCTGATAATGCTTGATAAAGAACAGGAAATCTTGTAAGCTGTGGGAAAAAAAAAAAAATGGATAGAAATGTTTTTGTTGGGTTATTTTTGGATAAAGAGGATTGATTAGCTTCTGGGCTTGTTATGCTTTCTCTTTCTGAAAAATTTGGAAGTTATTACTTATTTGCTTTTTTTTTCTTTTTTTTTTTTTTTCACTTGAGTACTATTTAGCAGCTGTTTTTCTGTTCCTTCAGGTTGCAGTAATTTCAAGGCTTCGTTATCGACCAGGAAATTTTCATCTTCAACAAGTTCATCGTCTATTAAGGAGCAAATCAAAGCTGAAAGTACAATCGAGCATGTTGGATTACTCAATGCAGTTGAGGATTTGTATGAAGGAATTATAGTAGAAATGAAAGAACCTGTGGACTCTACAGAATTTATTCCTTTAATTAGAGCTTCCATAGTACAATGGAGGCAACAGGTACTGCTTTTTAATATTTCATTTGTCATATATCTTTGCAGACTTTACTCTCACTTTGCTTGATGATACTTCAATCTCTACCACTGTAACGCCTTTGACTCTTCTTTCAGGGGAAGAAGGGTGTATGGATCAAATTGCCTATTGGTCTTGTTAGTCTTGTTGAACCCATAGTTAAGGTAATTAAGTACATCTTTGCAGCAGCAACTAGTGTTGGTTCATAAACTTTAAAGTATATTTTTAAATTGTGTAGGAAGGATTTAGATACCATCATGCTGAATCAGACTACTTGATGCTGGTATATTGGATTCCTGAAACTCCGGATACTCTTCCAGAAAATGGTTCGCACCGTCTAGGGATCGGGGCTTTCGTATTGAATACTGATGGAGAGGTATTCAATAATTATTTTCAATCAGTCCAGCTTCTCTTTGGATATGTTTTGATGGCATATTAACGTCTGATGGCATTGCTGCTTGGATTTGGTAGCATTAACTTCTTATTTTGGAATCGAATAAGTAGGTGCTTGTAGTTAAGGAGAATAGTGGAGGATTCAAAGGCACAGGAGTATGGAAGCTACCTACCGGGGTGGTTGATGAGGTGAGCAGGATTGCAAGCATTTTTATTTCCCTACAGGCTGCAGTGTTTCCTTTGGTAATGTTCTTCCTCATAAATTGAAAATTTGCATCCATAGGGTGAGGATATTCTTACAGCTGCAATTCGAGAAGTTAAGGAAGAGACAGGAGTAAGTAATCAATCTGCACTACTTAGGCTAAAAAATGGGGCAACATAAGTGAAGTTTTTGTTTTGGCTTTTTATCTGCCATTGTAAATCTAAGGTCTTTGGTGTTCATCCTGTATCAGATTGACGCAGAATTTATGGAAGTTTTAGCATTCAGGTGAGAAGTCCTTTTTGCACCGACCAGTTCATGTATCATTTTTTTCCTTGTGCTTCGTTTGACAGAAGAAGGCCGTTCTTAAACTCTGTTTCAGCACATTACACATGAAAAGTTACATCATTAGCTTCGTTCTTTCGTGACATAATCTTTCTTTTGTTTCCTTCAATTCTGCATCTTTCACAATTTCATTTTTGTTTTTCATACACAGACAAAGCCACCAATCATTCTTTAGCAAATCAGATCTATTTTTCATTTGCATGCTAAGGCCACGCTCTTTTGACATCCAGAAGCAAGATTTGGAGATTGAGGCAGCTCAGGTATTTTTTAACTCTGGTAGTTTCTTGATTGTTAAAAAATGATCCACTGGGTTATTTCATGCCTAGAATCAATAGTTTCTTGGTTCTATCTTAGCATTGTTTCTTTCTGTTTTTTTTTTTTTTTTTAATTGTTTTTTTGTTTCAGTGGATGCCCATTGAGGATTATGTGGATCAACCTTATAACAAAGAACACCAGCTCTTCAAATATGTTGCTGAAATATGCAAAACTAAAGCCAAAAAGCAGGACTATGTTGGGTTTTCTGGAATGCCTGTAGCCTCAACTTCCGGTAAAGAAACCTACTTGTACTTCAACAACAGAGATTTCCACTAAAATTGTGCGAAAAAAGAGCCACAAATTATTATGGTAATTACTAAAAAAAAAATAGTGCGAAAATAGAAGGACCGAAGAGAATTGGTATTTGGTAAGAACATTTTGCCACTACATAATTATTATTATTATAAATAACAATTTATCATTCCTTTCTTGCCAATACTTATGATTCGGATATACCTCAAATTTCATAATGCATAAAAGTAACTAAAAACACTATTGAATTCGTTTTCCAAATTACAATACCTACCACCAGAGCTTACGCATCTATGATCTATGTTAGCATAATATCCGTACGTTGTCACGAATAAGTCTATGTATACAATTAAAAAATTTAAGACAAAAATAAAAATTAATTAATATTAATTGTGAGAATTATATATATATTTGTTACAAAATAGAGTTCTTCTTGATATGGTTAGGTCTATGATGATCCAAGCTAATTTACATGTTTCTTTTTAGGGTGATGCTCTTTTAACCACTCGTCTATATTTTGAATCGTATGCCCACGAAATCAATTTGATCCACCCTATGAGTTATGGATGGACTAAAAATTTCGATTTGAATAACATCAAACCATGTGGATATGCAGCTTATATGCATAACACATCTCATAAGCATTAAAAATTGGGTCCAAGGGGAGAAAAATATACTTTCATTTGTTACTTAGACCATTCAAAAGATTATGTGTTCATTGGATAGCATAAAAATAAAGGGTACTCCAAATTTGAATATAAGGATGTTGTATTCCTTAAGGACCAGCTTCCTAGTAAAGAAGAAACGAATGGGGACTTATCTCTCTTTGAGATGGCGAGATCATGATGACCTAATCCTACCATTGGATAACACACCTTTATTTGTGTCAAGGCCATCCGATCCGAGTGGAAGCAATTGGAGAGATAATGAGTTTGTTTCTCAAGATTCTCATTTAAGGAGAAATATTAATGTATCTCAATATTCTCATTTAAGGAGAAATATTAATGTAAACATTTCCCGACATCACTTTGGTGATGTTTAATGAACAAGTTTCTTAAGGAGAAATACATGTGAAAACATTCCTCGATTTCATTTTGATGATATCGAAGGAAGAAGTTTCTTGGTTGCTTTACTATAAGATGATGCACCCAACAATTTTAATGAAGTCTTGTCATCTCCTAAAAAAGAACACCGGCTTAAGGAAATGGAAGAAAAAATAAAGTCCATGAGATCAAATAATGTTTAGGAATTAATTGATCTCCCTTTAGGATGAAGATCCATTAAGAATAAATGGGTTCTCAAAATCAAGCGCAAGGCTAATCATATCATTAAATGGTACAAAGCCCAACTTATGGCCAAGGGGTATACATAAGATGAAGGTATTAACCACGAGGAAACTTTTTCACTTGTTGTGAGATTTGTCGCCTCATTTTAGCTATTATGGCAAGCCCGGATTTGGAATTACATCAAATGGATGAAAAGACCGCTTTCCTCAATGGAGAACTTGAGGAAGAAAATTACATGGAACAACCTAAGGGTTTGTCCGGAAAGGCTAAGAACACGGAATGTGTAGGCTTATGAGATTAATTTATGGTTTCAAGCAGTCATCCAGTACGGTGGTACTTAAGGTTCCATGGAGCAATTATCTCATATTACTTTATTCAAATGGACGAGGACCACTATGTTTATGTTAAAAGGTTCAAATATAGATTGTATTGTTATCATTTTACGTAGATGACATCCTATTAACCAAGTAATGATATGGAGTTTCTAATGATCATCAATGGATGGTTGTGATCTAATTTTCAAATGAAGGACATGGAAGAAGCTCGCATATATTCTTGGTGTTCAAATCGAAAGGGATTGTTCTAAGAGATTGTTGGCCCTTTTACAAGAACAATACATTAAAAAAGTTCTTGAATGATTCAATATGCAAAATTGTAATCCTATAGACATTCCTACAACGAAATTTGATGCTTTAAGTTTAAAATCATACCCTAAGACTCCAAAAGAAAAGGAACAAATGGAAAAGGTTCCTTATACCAGAGTGTAATCGGGAGTTTGATGTATACTATATTGTGTACTAGGCTTGATAGTTACTATACCTGTTGGGATGGTAAACGGATATTAATCAAATCCACGTTAGGCTCATTAGAAAGTAGTCAAGAAAATCATGAGCTATTTAAAAAGCATGATGGATTATTCTTTCTCTTAGAGAAAGGATCAACAATTTTTTGGTTATGTAGATACCTATTGGGAAGGTGATTTAGATGAGAGGAAATTGACCTCGGGCTATGTCTTCTTGCTTGGCAATGGTGCAATCTCTTGGAGCAACAAAAAATAAACATGCGTAATGTTTTCCATCATGAAAGCCAAGTTCATTGCATTCTCAATTGAAATATAAGAAGATGTTTCGTTGAGGTATTTTATGAATGATATGGGGTTCCTACATGAACCTATTGGACTCGTCACCATCCATAATGATAGTCAAGTAACAATTGCATTTATAAAGGATCTCAAATATCATTCTCGGACCAAACACATAGACCCTAAATATAACTTTGTTATGAATATTATAGCATGAAAAGAGGTCATCATTTAGTATATTTCTATATCTAAGATGTTAGCTAATCCATTTACGAAATCACTACCTAGAGATGTGTTTGTTAAGCATGTTAGTTCTCTAGTGGATGTATAAGTTGTGATTTTGTATTACTTCGTTGAAACATACTTTTTCCTTTTAACAAGTTTGAGAAACTTTTTTCATTATCATGTGCATATTTTATTTTAACTCTTTTTAATGCACATATAAATTATGCTAAGTTAATATATGTCTGACAGATCCTTAAGCGATTGACCTTCTCTCATAAGCAATTGTCCTCATTAGTTGGGGAAATAGTTAAGCTTATTCAAATTCTCAAAAAATTTTATGCTCAACTCGATGCTTTAACTTTATGTTAAAGTGAGGTCATAAGTGACCTTAGGTATACATATCCGAATGTATACATTGTTTGTTTTAAAGTTGGGTAGGTTCATGTTGAGAAAGTAGAGTGATGGATCCAAGTTAAACATTAAGTATGTCCAAACCATTACATATATGATATTGTAAGAAAGATATATGATCTATGGAAAAAGGAGTTAATATCATAGCAAGTGTTTCATATTGTTTGTGCTAAAAAAAAATTAACCAAATAGAATTAAGAAAAGTTTTGATCTTTACTTTTCGAGTGTGGACCCCGAGATTAATAAATCTAAATAATATCCTTCAACTTTCTAAGTGGTTCTTAAACTTTTAGTTTTATGCTAGGTAGCCTAGTGTGCCGTCAATAAGTCATGATTGATTTAACCCGAGTGGAGCATATCTAGAAAAGCAACTTAGCCATCGATTAGAGTTCTTACAAGAAGGGTAAAACCACTTTGATGTTGTATTTATATGTACTCACCGGCCGACCATCGATGATAGTGAAAAGTAGCTATGAGTACCTAGAATGATCCATAAAGATCAAGAGATCATGAGATACTTTATGCAACATGGTGAGTTAGGGGTATTGCATACTTATTCTACATAACGTTTTATACGAAAGAGTTGTCGCATATTCCTAACGGATGTGTGGCATAAGATTCTCGAGGTCTATTAGTATGCCGGTCGCACGACTTATAGACTAGTATGAACCTAATATGAGGTATCTTAGTGACATTATATTGTTAAGAGTCTCGAAGTGATGGTGTGCATGTAACCATCACGTGTGAGTGGGAGATGTTGGAATATAGGCCTTAGTTAGCCCAATTCCATTCATCTATGATGGATCATTATGAACTTGGTCCATTAATAGGACTCGGTATATGTTTCTAAAAACATATATGAGCTATATGTTGATAAACTAAAATTAAATATTTAAATTATATTTGAGTTATTTGTAAAGAGTTCTAACTCTATATCAAATAAGGAGATATCTTTTATAAATATATTTCTTGTACATATAATCTAGAGTATAGAACGTAAACCTAAACTCCCTACTCATATGTCGAGCTTCTCCCCTTTCTTCTCTTAAAAACTTCGAACCACATTAAAATAGTCCAATAAGCCATGGAGATCATTGGTGTAGTCCGTATATGATTGCATCATTCATCCAGATGTACTAATCGATCCATCGATCAAATCGTTTTTGTACAATCGTATACTCTAACAGTGCCGCAATGTTCCATGTCCGCAATGTTCCACTTTCTCTAGTATCCCACTCATTCGTTGCAACATATCACGTTTTTCTTATTTCTTATTCTAGTTACACAATTATGTTAGCCTTTCCTTGCACATAGAAGATTTAGGTTCCCATGTCTTTTTGCCTACGTCGTCATTCCGTTAAAAGTTATACTAAGTCTCTTTGTCTTTTGAATGTACAACTTTTTAAGATTTTTTTTCCTCGTGTGAACTTATCCGAATTTAACCTAGTGGATTAGGCTTTGGACACACTAATGGTTTTCGGTGCTTTATAACTAAAGTATCATTAGACTCTAATTAATTTAATTGGGTCATCAAAACCTAATTAAATTTAAGTATAACATGTCGAGGGATAAAAATTGTTTTTCTTATAGGCAAAACGTAACCACCGTCCTTAGGAAGTTAGCATTATTTTAATGTGTTTTTTAATTCCATTTTTATTAGATTGAATGAAAAAAATATAACTTCAAATCTAAAAATAAAAAATAAAAAAATTCAATGATGTTAATTAAATATATTTATAATTGTTGTTTTAATGGTAATTTCATAAGTATTCACGGTAGATTCTAATACAACATGAGATTTTTTTTTTTCATTCCACGATAAAAGATTTTATCGAATTAATTTGAATGTCAATAAACTAATAAAAAGCCAACCTCACCCTTGATGTAAATATATAGCTTTTTTACTAATGATGTCATAGTTTGGGCGAAACATCATCCATTTTATATATTTTCCGAGCTACTCAATCAAATCCGCCTCTAGTACAAAACCAAACCAGATATCTTTAATAATTTTAAATTGGTTAAGGGTATGTACTACTAGTGCCGGTAATGACTGATTTTAATTTCTTTTAATTAGTGGAACAGATTGTGATTGTGATGGAATTTTTTATATATACATAATTTTTGGCATTAGCTTCCAAAGGCAAGCAATGTCAGCAGTAAGGCACATTCCATGCCACTGAGAAAGAATCTTGTAATTTATTCCATTACAACTGACAAAGAATCTTGTAATTTCATATCGTATAAAGAAAAGTATAGCATAGGGACTCAAAATTACCCTCGTGGATGGATGGCCATACATCCGATCTGGCCACAGAGGATCTGTTTTTGGTAAATACAAGGAAAGCTAAGGGTACATAGTAGTTACCAAGAAGCCAAACCTCGTCTGGTTGAGTGACCTCTATAAATTTAAGGTGGTTTCGTATCGGGAGGACATAAAGAGTTTGTTCAGTGAAATATCGTCGAGTGAGAGGGACACTCATGGCTGTGGTGCAAGGCAAATGGATCAAGGTAATTACTTTCAATTTACTGTACATTTAGACCTGTTTTTCTAAGTTAAAAGCAACGAACTAATCAAATTAAATATGTTTGCTTTCTTTGGTTTTAGTTTTATTCTGTGATTTTCTAGATCCCAATTAACTTGAGTTTAATGGCTATTTTTCTTCAACTACTTAAGAGAGTAGTGCATATTCAAGTTGTATGGTATGTGGTGAATTCTTACCTGATTCTTCTCCAACCCCTTGATTGATTTCAATGAATATTACTCCTTTATTCTGTATTTCTATCATCACCATCGACGAGGATGGTTTTCTTCTTCTTCTTCTTCTTCTTTTTTTTTTTTTTTCCGGGTATTAGGTACTTTGGATCAGTTTGAAAGTCAATCGAGAATAATTCCTCTTCTTCGATATGAGCTGGATTTTCTTCGATGCTTATATATTTTAGGGTTCAATCTATTTCAGATGTTACTTGTGTCTCCGACTCTGATTATAATTATCAGTAATTGGTAGAATACAACTAGGAAATTCTATGAATCTCATGCTATCATCTACTTTTCTTTTAATTGTATTTTGTTGAAATTTCTGTATCAGCTTGGCCAGAAAGGAACTGGGCCGGGAGCCAGAAGTTCACATGCCATAACCCTAGTAGGACACAAGGCCTATGCTTTTGGCGGCGAGTTTGCGCCTCGTGTCCCTGTTGACAACAATCTTCATGTCTTTGATCTCCAGACTCTAACATGGTCCGTGGCTGATGTAACTGGAGACGTCCCTCCACCACGTGTTGGAGTATCAATGGCCACCGTTGGCAAAACCATCTATGTGTTTGGTGGCAGGGATGCCACGCATAAGGAGCTCAATGAGCTTTACTCTTTCGACACCTCTACTAATCAGTGGACCCTACTATCAAGTGGCGATGCCGGACCCCTCATCGGAGTTACCATTCAACTGCATCCGATGACAGGCATGTGTACATCTTCGGTGGATGTGGTGTTGCTGGCCGGCTTAATGATCTGTGGGGGTATGATGTGATTGAACAAAAGTGGGTCAAGTATCCCACACCGGGGGACAATTGCAAGGGCAGAGGTGGCCCTGGGCTTGTGGTGGTTCAGGGAAAAATATGGGTTGTCTATGGTTTCTCTGGAGCAGAGACTGATGATGTGCATTGCTTTGATCTAGCCCAGGGAACCTGGACTCAGGTTGACACAAGTGGCGAAAAACCATCGGCTCGAAGTGTATTTTCTACCGTCGGGATTGGGGAATACATAATCATATCCGGTGGAGAAGTAGACCCTAGTGACTTGGGTCACCTTGGTGCTGGGAAATTTGCAAGTGAGGCATATGCACTGGACACTAAGACTTTAATCTGGAAGAGGTTGGATGATGGGCTGGGTTCAGATGATCATCCGGGGCCTCGTGGTTGGTGTGCTTTTGCCGGTGGTTGCCTAAATGGCAACCAAGGGCTTCTGGTTTATGGTGGCAACTCCCCTAGTAATGACCGGCTTGATGACATTTTCTTTTTTACTCCCTGTGTCAATGCAATTGGAAGTTAATGGTAGGTGGAGATACTCTGTTAATGGGTGCTGTTTCTATGGAATAAGTAGTGGTTTCTTATGTATATTTTGACAATGCTATGTTGAGTTTATTAATTAGCAGAGATGCATCAAAACACTGTCAACTTTGTTGGGACAGAGACAGGTAAGTTGTGCATCACAAAATCAAGCATGTCCTAACTGAGGGTTTGGTAATCTGATGACAGATGAGAAACAAACCCAAGGATTCATTCCTTTGTCAGGGAAACGACATGATTGGTATATGCACCCTTAACTGTTTCCATGTACTCTCCTATCTTGATAGAAAATCTTTGGAACATAACATCAACAATTTCATCTCCAAAATGGCTGGCTAGCAAGGACTCCATAATAGCTCTCATTCGCTTTGCCACATACCTGCCTTTCGTGTGCTTATCCATGGAGTCTCGGTAGCGGTCATCGATGCTTGCATCCCAACCTACATGGAATGATTCAAGCCGATTGATGATAAATGATCCTTCTGCTTGAATCACCTTTCTTACTTCTTCGGCTAAAGCGCCATAGAATGGGATATTGAACGAGTCCAGCTTCGATTCTTCGATTAATCCCTGCCCATGTATGCATATCAGTCTATGATTTAACAACATTGATCCGGTCCTTTGTGATTTGTGAGTGTGGTTACCTCTAAGACCATGTCATTTAGCATCATCCCAAAAAATTCCCAGATGGTGGGGTTGTGTTTGCCAGATGAATCATTGTTCTCATCTCTTCCATAGATGGTAAGCACCATACAACCTCCAGGAATCACCTCTTCTGACCGTGATCTTAAAAATGCTGTGAAATCTTTCTCAAATTGATTCAAGTATGCTTTGTGGACACCAGGAGGGCTTGTCTTTGCTAGGTAAATGTTCCCTTTGTTCAGTGGAATTTTTGGTACCTGGTAGAGCATCGCATTTCATGCAATGTTTAAACAGAAAGAGAAGTGCAGAGAGGGTGGGTGGGCAGATAACACACTAACAATGAGGGAAGGGCATGATGATGGGATAGGTCTAGCTAAGGTTCAGCTTACAGCATTTACTTGCATAATCATCAATTCACTTCCTTTTAAAGATTTCATGTTAACGACAACACGAATGATTTTTCATAAAACTGAACTTACATGTAATGCCATCTGCATAAAGGTAAAACATTGGATGCATGTAAGATTGAATCAAGCTTGGAACCTATTACATTTTGTGGAATTAAGAGATCTAGATGCACAGAAACTTTTTTATTTATTATTATTTTTTGTGTTTGTGCATGAGCTGTGTGAGCTCAAAGCTTGGTACTGGACGTGGTTTTGTACAGAAATAAACTACAACAGCTTAGTTTTTGTGTTAAAAAAAAACTACGGTCTGGTCTTTCAGATAGCTTGAAGCAAGCTTTCTTGAACCAAAATCAGTTTTTTGCGATTTGAAAATTCGGATCCAGATGAACAGTTTCGTGTTTAGTGTAGTGAAATGAAATGTTAGTAAGCCCAAAATTAATAAATTAAATGTCAGAGATTCGCATAATTCTATTCTACTAACAACTTGTAAGCTATAGCTGAAGGATGAACCTCGGAGAACCAGTGAAGACTATAAGAAGAATGAACAAAGTGAAGTGAACGAGGTGGAAAGAGCCTCCCATAGAAATTTCCAGGCATCGCAGCTAGAAAACAAGGCCCGAACTTGCCACCCATCTCTTCCTCGAGCTTCTTATGAAAACTTGGCAATGACCTGAAGATGGAGTTGAAATCATTCCCCGGAAGATCATTCAAGAACACTTGCAAAATCGGAGGTTTCCGATCCAACTTGCGGCATGTTTCATCAATGCCGTCTATGATCTCCCGTATTGGCAGGAAAGTGTTTGGTCCTGAAGAGCACCCCATGTCTGCCATTGTTATGCATTCTGGGAAACTGTTGCTGTACAGCTGCACAATGGTTTCTTGTAATATGGGCTTTGCTTTTAACATCACCTTCTTCTGTTGAAAAACATGAAAGATAAGATTAATGTCATTACTACTGTTTCTGCAAAAGAATTCAGGCTTAAGAGGAAAACCTGACTTCCATAATTAACATACAAATATATATAGAGAGAAAGCGGAAGATCACCTGAAGTAAAGAATTATTGGAATAGCTATTGTCTCCATCTCCTCCGTTCATGTGAAGGACTTGGTGGAGCTGAAGGTTTCTAACATGGTCTTTTTCAGCCTCCATATCTGCTGTTTGGCAATCTCTGACTTGCTTCTGGTCCTTTTATCTTCGCAAAATAATTTATTGAACATTTCTTAATACATTTTAAATTTGAAGTCAAAGGATCATGGGGCAAGCGTTCTGTGCATTGAATTTGATTCGTTTTTGGTTGGATCTGAAATTAGATGAACATCATGTCTGATCTTGTAGACTTTTTCGTAGTCAGAGGAGAATTTTTTAAGCATAATTCTTCTCCATCCTTTTTTTTTTTTTTAGGAGAGTGTTCTAAAGGAACAGTTCGGACCTCAACTGTCCTGGGTGAATATACTTTGAATGATAAATCTAAAGGGCTGTGTGGTGATAAAGTAGCAATAAAATATCAAACTCATATAATGAGTACAAGCATGATTTATAAAATAAAAAATAAATTGTAGTAAAGTATAGCAAATAAATTAATTGAATTACTTAAATTTGTAGTTAAGGTTTTGCTTTGGAATGGAAATTTGAATATCAAAACTTCTAAAATTGTAATTAAAAAAAATAGTTGAAATAACAAAGAATAAGTGGAGGGCTGAAGGAAATTCTAATTAGTTAAGATTTGAGGATGCTGAATAATATCTGAAGAACACTTACAAAGAATCACTTATCATAACCATTAAAAAAGGAGAAGGTAAATTACAATAATGTTTTTGAAATATTAAAATTACAGAAACTATCTAAAAGATGAAGATTTAACCCAAAAAAAAAAAACTCTTTTGTATTTAAAAAAATTATTACAAAAACGTTCTTTTATATGTAAATATACTTAATTATTATTTTTAAAAAACTAATTGATTTTATAGTATTTTGAACTTTCAGTCAAACAAAGAGTGGTATTAAAAAACAAAAAAGATAAAAAAAAAAAAAAAAAAGGAGTACCAAATCTTTTTTTTATTTTAAACAAATCCACATTTCCCATTGATGAACATCTAAGGACACGTGACAGACAAATATGTGCTAGTAAAATGACCGAAAAGCTCAAACTCAAATTAAATTGCCAAACCCAAAAACACAATCTATGCACCCAAAAAAAATATAATAATAAAATAGTTGTTTAGAACAGAAAAAATGTTGTTAGTCAAGTGATCATTAATCATAATGTCTATCTCCTCCCTAATTTCAATAAAAATCTTTTTTTTTTTTCCTTTCCTAGCAAATCTAAAATCTTTGCCCAATCTCATGTCTAATTTCAATAAAGATTATTTTTCCTTCCCAACAAATCTAAAACTATTGTCCAAACTCCTGCCTAATTTCAATAAAGATTATTTTTTCTTCCTAACAATCTAAAATCTTTGCTAAATCTCCTACCTAATTTCAATAAAGATCTTTTTTTTCCTAATAAATCTAAAATCTTTGTCCAATCTGCTACCTAATTTCAATAAAGATCTTTTTTTTTTTCTTTCCTAGCAAATCTAATTTTTTTTCCCAAATAAGCAAAGAGAAAAGTGAGTAACTTCGTTGATTTTTTATTGGAGGAGAAAGGGCTTTGTCATCATTAGATAGTAGTTAGCATTGGGTTTTGGTGTTGTTTGACCGAAGAAGATGGCAACTATAAGGATTTTAATGATTGGTGTTGGATCTTGAATGGAGGAGAGGGGTGGCCTAAAGAGCTGTGGCTGGTGTTGAATTTGATTGAATGAGAAGGATGGTTATGGTTGGTGTTGGGTTTGATTAGAAAAAAGGGACAATCGAGGGGACTATAGTGGCTGGTGGGCCTCAATGTTGTTGGGACAAAAAAATGATGACTAAAAGGATTGTAGTGGCTAGTGTGGAGAGGAATGGCCTAGAGAGTTATGGTTGGTATTGGGTTTGATAGGAGGAGAGGAATGGTCGAGAAGGTTCTAGTGGCTAGTAGGTTTGCTATCGTTTGGCCAAAGAAGATGATAGTTGTGATTGGTGGTTCATGCGGGAGCATCCATCCTTTCACTTGACCGAAAGTTTGGCATCCTAAAGTGGCCAAAACTTTTAGCCCTCTCTCTTTTTATTTTTATGGTCTTTCATTTATTTGGATTATCTTTTATTTATTTGGATTGTATTTTAATTAGTTGGGCTGATTTTAATTGTAAAAACTTTGTAACACCCTCGTTCTAGGACCTAAATAAGCCAAGAGTATCTTTGGCCAAAGAAGATGATAGTTGTGATTGGTGGTTCATGCGTAAGCATTCATCCTTTCACTTGACCGAAAGTTTGGCATCCTAAAGTGGCCAAAACTTTTAGCCCTCTCTCTTTTTATTTTTATGGTCTTTCATTTATTTGGATTATCTTTTATTTATTTGGATTGTATTTTAATTAGTTGGGCTGATTTTAATTGTAAAAACTTTGTAACACCCTCGTTCTAGGACCTAAATAAGCCAAGAGTATCACCGACATTTATTTACATTTGAAGTTCAATGAATGCAAGTTAACAAACCTAGGACCTAAATAGGCGGAGAGTATCACCGACGTTTATTTACATTTGAAATGCAATGAATGCAAATCAACAAGCCTCTTTCCTGAAATTTGTAGCAAATTGTGAGTTTTGATCATTCAAAATATTTTTTGAACTTAAATATTTCAGCCTAAGGCTTTGTTGGTTATTGTTTGTTGTCGATTAATCCACGGGGCTTGGTGTCTCTTAGTTTGGCATCATGGGTCTTGGTGTTGTTTGGGAGGTTTAGACAATTGGTGAGGCGACGACTTGATGCGTTTCGATGAGATTTAGCTAGAGGAGGGTTTGAGAAGATGGTGCGGTGCCGAAGGATTTAAGAAAGTGGTGGCTATGACTAGTGGATGTAATTTGTTTTTGGATCTCAGCTTTGTTTTAATTTGGATATGGGGGTAATTTTTCATTTTAGTTCATTAAGTTACTCGATCATAAGCATATGTGGCATAACATGACCACGTATTTTTGATTACGTGAGATGTTGGTCAACGGAAAAGGTAGACTCGATTGCAATAAAAAAAAAAAAAAAAAAGGGTTTGGTACTCAAATTAGTAAAATTAAAGTTTGAGTACGAGTCTTTGGTTGATCGAAAGCTCGGGATATTATAAAACCAATTAGTTTTTTTAAAAATAGTTAAATCAAGATCTTAAAAAAAAATTCGAAAAATAATACTAAAAAAGAGGACATGATTAGTTTTTAGAATTTCAACAATATTATTTTCTATCTTATGAAGAAATAATAAAATGTATTATGACGACTAGTATGGATGTATGTGGATATAGACTTTGTTTTTAGATAGGTTGTAGATCATAAATAAAGAAATATAAAAACAATTGTAAATTCACTTACAAGGGATAAAATGATAATAGTTTTCCGCATTTCTAAAACTTTAATTTAGCGTTTAAAAAGGTTTTTTTTTTTTTTGTAATTTTAATTTTTTGAATTTGAAATTTAAAATACTCTAATTCGATACAAGGATGTATCCTTAATCTGCAAACTGACTATAAGATATCATTTATCATCAAATATCTCAAGATGTGTAAAAATTAAATTTTGAGGCCAGTGAAAGATAAAACATAAGAATCATGCACAAATTTTTAATCTTTTTTTTTATCTTACACAAATTTTAAACTTGAAAACGGTAAAACTTATCACCCGTTCCTTAGGAAATTCCAATGAAAAATAACATTGGGACTTTCGCTTTATGATCAGCCTCTTAGGAAATTCCAATGAAAATAACGGGCTATTGTGCCATTAATAAGCACTAAATGTACAGTCAGAAATTGTTTTTCAAAGAAAGATGAATATACTGCTTGAAAATTTTCAAAGCCATAAAGTTCACTTTGCAATCGATTTTAATTTTCAATGGTGTTAATTCTATCTCCTTCCTTAAATTTTTGTTTCGCGATAAATGAGATTAGAGATACCAATGGACAGATATCTAGTCATTAATTCAATATTTTACCCTATCAATAAAAAAATACTCTACCCATTATCTATTAAGAAATCACTATATAAATTTTTACTCAGCTCAAGTTCACGTTAATTTACTAGTTCATTTATTACCTATTTAATACCTAATAAAATTAATTTATCAAATATATTCCTTTTAGTCCCTATATATTTACAAAAAAAAAATTGGTCCTTAATTTTTTTTTTCATTTTGGTCTTATTTATAAGTTTTGTTATCCTTAGTTTTTCAAAAAAATATTTTGGTCCTTGATTTTTAAATTTTATGTAATTAAATCTCTGCATGTTAATAAAAAAAATCAAAATAAATTAGTGGTTATTAATAGGATAAAGAGTGGATACCCATACTCTAAAACCATATTAATAGGTATGCATTTTTTTATCCTTATCCACTTCAACACCCATTAAATATTTTTAATAAGCATTTCTTGAGTCTAATAAAATGGATATCTCACTAAACTAGATAAACCATTATACTATCCCAAAGTTAAATTGTAATATTTTTATGTTCTCCTATATGTATAAATCAACAAAAATTTACAACTACGTAATATTTGGAGTACCAACCCTTCCATCCCACTTTGTTAATCCATATTGAGATGATCAAAATAATTGTCCACTTTCGAAATAAATAAAATACACAATAAAATATGATTTTCAATCTTATCTTAAATTATATTATAATTGCAACTATCTCAAATTATATGGCTTTCTCAATCCTAAAAACTAATTTAAAGAGTGAGGCTTTCCCTCACACTTTTAACAAGCACTTAGTCTCTTCCACAAATGATATTGGATGACACAATAATCTCCTCTTTCACGCATGGAGTTCTAAATTTATTTCTTATTTCTCATCAACTTATACGGAGCTTATACATGGAGAAATGTTTAAATTAGACTCCCATATCAATGTTGAATGCTATTGGGCTTCTCAATTCTAAAACTTAGTTCAAATAGTGAGGTTTTTCCTCACACTTATAATTAAGCATTCAATCCCTTCCACAATTGACATGGGATAACACAAAAATGATTGATGTAAAAACTTATTTAAAAATATTAAATTATCTATAAATATGAAAAGAAAAAAAAATCG